GATCAACGTTTACAAAACTTCAATCCATTCACATGAACACCCTTCTTGCCAAATATCAAGACCCAATGACCTTTTGTCATGAAGAAACACAAGCAAAAGAAAAAGTGGAAAGAAAGCTCTGTTTTTCTTTTTTTGAATAAAAAGTGTTATATGGCAAACTTACCGGTTGTAATATTTTTGAAAGATATTATTGGTAGGCAACTTTTAATCAAGTATGAAAAATAGACTATTTTTAGAACTTAATAAATTAACGTGTCAAAAATAGAAATTCTCATTAGTAATAAGGTTCAACAAGCATGGTAATTGTTTAAACAGTAATCATGTGCAAGTATATAGAACATCGTACATCGGTAGATTCGTTGGAATGTGTAGCTTCCAATTAAGGTACCTAATTCTGTAAACAATGGTGTTGAAAATGTATGTTGTATTTTAAAATTGCAACTTTTGTAGCATGTGCCCTATTCTCCATTTAACTTGTATGTTGAAAAAATATTACCAATATTATCCCTAACATGCATATTGAGGTCCCCCCGTATTAAAACATGACAAACATGTACAATACGGCCATTTATGTTATAGTGACTGAGTTTACAGAAAGATAAAAATAGCCATTTTGGAAATACCTTTCCGAATATATGGATGCCTAAAGAGGCCAATGTACCAATTCTAAAGTATAAAATCACAAATGAAAAAAACACAACTAAATTTGATTGTGAGTTATGGGCCCGTATTCATGAAACCGTTATCATGCTCAAGAATGGATTCTGTGCTCAAATCAACTTTCTTTCAATTTGCATTTATCATGTCAAAGGATCAAAAAGTTAAATGTAAACATTGAAAACAGTTTTCGGGCTTAAGTCTCTTCAATTGTTTTTTCTGAATCATTGGCATTTTTTTTTTTATTATTAATTGATAACGAAAACAAGAAATTACACTTGAGCACAAAATCCTTGCTTGAGCACGAGAACGGTTTCATGAATACGGGCCCAGGTTCTCCTTGTACCAAAATAAATAATTGTCTTCACCTTTATTCTGTATTTAGCCTAACAATACACATTTTCCTGTAATACTGTTATACCATATTTTGTATAGTCATGCTATCCTCATTGTAAATCAAAGTGTCAACATGTTTCATTTCAAATCAATTTTATTGTATTCAAAAAACACAATTGGATTAGGCACAGGCATTGCCTATAAAAGTCCTTTCCAGAGAAAATACACACATTTCATATACACATATATAGAGAGAGAGAGTATTATAGAGAAGATGTAGTATATGTTCGAATTAATAGGAGAATACTAGAACCATTTAATACATGTTCACAGAAAATAATACATGTAACTAGAATATCATAGATTTTACCATTTCAATTAATATAGTCTATTTACTTCAATTATTAATAGCCTAGTGTTTGGTTGGAGGCACTTCAAAGACACTGTCACTATACACAGTGCCATCCTTCCCAATTACACCAGAGTTATTTTTATAGCATAGCAAATACAAACACATTGTAATATAATTTTTAGTATAGTTTAAGTTAAAATCTTCCAGATTTGTCAATAAACTCCAGAACACATGAGTGAATTAATGTATTTGATTCACTGCTAAGGTTCATATCACCCGTAGTGAAAGTAACAGTATTTAAGATGATGTTGTCAATTTCGTTGTAATTAGATAACGCATTGAATAAAACTTGTCTTTCATCTATATATTTGGGGCAATTGAGGAAGAAGTGATTTGCATCTTCAATAATAAAACCACAGTCACACTTAGGGTTATCTGCAAGATGATCATTATATAAATCTGATTTTAATTGGCTGACTTTATTCCGTAGTTGACATAATGTTATATTCAACTTCCTGGAGCCACCGTATTTAAAAATATCCGTACAGTTAGATGGTTGCAAAACGTATGTGCTTTCCTTAAGTAATTCCAGTTTTAACTGGCTCAATGAAGTGAGTTTTGGAAAAATACAGTCTGGCCTTTTCCATAGAGACAGCATTCTAGGAAAAAAGCTATTTTTATACAAGTTGGTTCTGCACAAGGGAACAATAAGTTTCTATGATGTCTAAAGCGAGGATTAATATCATTATTAAAATATGGTAAGATACAATCATTAAGATGGTCAGGACAGCCATGCTGCAGTATCTTGAAAAATAATATACATTGGTAATTATCACGTCTTATTTTTAGTTTATCTGCACCAACTTCCTTATATATTAAGTTATGACTTGTTCCTCTTCTCAAACCTGATATAATTCTGAGACATTCTAATTGGACTGATTCCAATAAGTCACTTTCACCCTGGGTGCAATTATTCCACACAGCACAAGCATATTCAAGTGTTGGTCTTATAAAAGATTTATAAATTATTTCAAGAGATTTTCTATCTAGCTTGAGTTTGAGCATTCGCATTATTTGTAGTTTTGTACAGCTTTTTCCATATATATAATTAACTTGATCAGACCATGATCCACGACTATTAAAAAGCAAACCAAGATGTTTATGATTTTTGACATGTATAACGACACTATTTGAGAATATCAAATCTGGATGAGATGTCTCAGAATTATTTTTATTAGACGTTAGTAATGATTCAGTTTTACTTGGATTAAATGATATTTCCCATTTATCAGCCCAGAGAGACATTCTTCTCCTTAAATCCTCATTAAGAATTTCTGCAGCATGTCTGCCATCACCATCTATCAAAACGTAAAGAGAAGTGTCATCAGCAAAGAGTTTGACATGGGATTGGAGTTCATCTTCTAGGTCATTAATAAATATTAAAAATAAATAAGGCCCGAGAACCGAGCCTTGGGGTACACCAGCTTTTAATGTTTGTAAATTTGACTTGTAGCCATCTACTAATACCCTTTGTTGTCAATCAGTAAGATAACAATGAATCCAGTTCAAAACGTCGTCACAAATTCCATATTTCTTCAATTTGTAAAGCAATCCACTGTGCCAAACCCTGTCAAAAGCTTTGCTGATGTCACAAAATACTATCCTTGCCTCTTTTCCTTTATCAAGTTGTTTTGAAGCTTCATCATATAAATATATTAATTGGTTAACTGTGGAGTCATTGGGAAGGAAGCCAGACTGATTTTTTGATATAACATTATTCTCAGATAGAAAAATAAAGAGATGTTTAAAAACTAATTTTTTAAGAAGTTTACTAAATAACGATGTGACAGAGATTGGTCTATAGTGACTGGGGTCACCTCTTCCTCCCTTGCCGTTATATATTGGGGTAACATTATCACACTTCCAAATATAAGGTATGCAACCAGTGGATATGGATTTGTTAAAAATTAACAGTAAGGGCTTTACAAGAGAGTTAGCAATACCTTTAATAAAAGAAGGGGGAAGTGCATCTGGACCAGCAGTTTTTTTTTACATTAATAAGTTGGAGCTGATCATGAACATCCTGTTCAGTGATAATAATGGAAGATAATTTTTCTTGTGAGATAGGACAATTAGGAGGAATGTCAAGGTCAGTTTTGTCAGAAGTAGAGACAGAGGTGAAGTATGAGTTAAAAGATTCTGCTTTATCCACAGGATGTGATTTAAGTTCGCCATTTATTACAAGAGGAGCATCATTGTTTGATTTATTGTTAATGTTCATAATAGACTTTGCAACCCGCCACCACTTACCTGGAGGAATAGATTTGTCAATAAGGGAATTTTGGAGTGTAAGTAGATATTTTTGCTTAGCTTCTCTTACAAGGTCAATAACTGTGTTTCGCATATCTCTAAATTTTTGCCGGGCTGCAGTAGTATTAGTATGTTTGGCCCTGGTATGTTGACATTTCGTTTCCTAATGTGTAATCTTATATCAATGTTCATCCAGACTTTATCATTTGGACGAATAGTGACAACTTTATGTGGTACATATTTTTCAATACAATTATGAATTTCACTGGAAATAAAATTATTCATAGTCTCTATATCAACATTTTCATTCAAACATGTATCCCAATCAATATTAGATAAATAGATGTTAGCATTAACAAAGTCAGTATCACTAAAGTACATAATTGTCTTTTTATATGCAGATTTCTTATGAGTTTTGAAAGATATATTGCAACTAATTGGACTGTGGTCACTACAAATTGGAGTTTGGACAGAGGGATTTTTTACTATATCAGTATTGTTAGTCATGATAATATCGAGAGATGTAGAAGAGGTAGGAGTAGTTCTTGTAGGTTCGTGAATGATATTAGTAATGCCAAACTTAGTCATAATCCGCATGATGTGAGAATTTGGTTGTACGTTTAACATATCCTGATTGATGTCTCCAATAAGTATATAATCTTTACCAAGTTCAGTGATATTGTCCAAGACATCATCAAGTTTACTTCAATAATCCACAACAGAGTTTGGGGGTCTATAGATGCAACCTAAGAGTATTTTTTTATGACTAAGGGTAATTTCAATCCAAATGATTTCTAAATCTGCTTTCTCTAATTCTAGTCTCCTTTTAGATATAATTTTGTCATTGGTACAAATAAGAACTCCTCCACCTCTTCTATCAAGTCTGTCTTTACGGAAAATATGAGGGTGATCAGATAAAGAAATAGCATCGTCAGGGATAGAGTCATTGAGATGAGTTTCCGTAAGGCAGATGATGTCATGATCAGCAAGTTCAGTCTCAAGGATATCAGTTTTATTTCTAAGTGAGCATATATTCAAATGTGCAATTGATTTGTCATCAAGGAGTGTGAATTTCCCATATTACCTGGAGGACCGGGATTGGTATGGATATCCATACACAGTAAAATAAGTTTAATTTTGATGATAAGCATAAATATTATATTAAAAATATTCTCTCCATGTGAACTGTGTAGATATGAAAAAAATCAATTTCATTTTGGTAAGTGATATTATGCTATTGTGGTGCTGCGACACGGTTCCGGAATGGCCGGAGTTGGTTCCCACTACTAGTGGGCAGGCGAGGATAACCGAGTTGTTCCGGGTGAGGAACAGTGTTGACCAAGATCCTGGACTGGACAGACGTACCTGCATAGCGGAGCCGTTTCCGGAAAGGATTGTCATCACTCACAGTCGTCAGGCTGTCTGTGTGCTTGAGGATAGCCCAGAGCTGTGGTGAGTAAGCATATAAGGCTAATCACAACATTTGGTGTCAGAATTTGGCGGAAGAGGATGGCCAGGAACCCGAATTCAAATTGGCCGCCATTTTGATGATTTAAACCAGTCTGCATTGTGTTTTCGTACGTGGGGGTCTTATGACTAACGGACGAGTATAACAGCATACTGAACGATATTTAAACTCTTCGTTGGACAAAGGAGGCCGACATTTAACGGCATACTTCATCGACATCGTTACATACAGTAGCGAGATAGTGTAGCGTACTTTGATGAGATGTAAATTGTAATCACTGTAGTGTATGGCGACATTGGCTCAGGTCCTTGTTATCTACCCCTTATGTCGGACATTCTGACGTAGGGATAGTTATTTGTAACCATTGTTTGTATTAGTTATTGCTTGTATTATGTGTAACCTGCGATTTCTTTGTCTATGTAGAAATTTGGTATATCTGTCTTATATCTGCTTATCATAACTATGTGTGCTTGCTATGTGTATCGTTCTACTGCTTTGTAATTTGGTTGTAAATATCTGGTTTTGCAGTAGGAGCACAATTTGGGACTGATGGAATATAAATTGATTTGTCGGACACTCTGATATATATATATATATATTATGTCAGTCAGGGTTACAGGGATAAAATGTCATTTGTCTCTTATTTTTATATCATTTATTTGGCAGTGTGAATCGGATGTCGGATACTCTGATACCAATACAGCATTTGCCAGAAGTTATATCTATATAAGTTAGTATTATTTTAGGATTGTGTTATATTTTCTGAGTTATTTGAATCTGTTGGAATGGGGCCACCTAAAGATCCAATAAATATTAACACAGCCTCTGAGGAGCAGCTATCAGAAATCTATAACATTGGCGAAAAGCGAGCAACCCTTATTGCAAAAAGGAGATCAGAGCTTGGGGTGTTAAACCTTGCAGTTCTGAAACAGATACAGGGAGTGCCTAGCACCATTTGGGACTCATTAGTGAAGGAGGAAGCAATAATTTTTCCGATGGAGGAAGATACACAGGAAGAACTCCAGTCTGAGGGGGCTGAGTTAAGAGGAGCACTGGAGAATATGGAAAAGATAATTGACCGACAGCGGCAAGATATGTTGGAGGCAAAAGAGTCGTTCCGGAAGAAAATTGGGGAGGTGGAGACGGAGTACCGGAACCAGATGGAGGACCAGCGTAGGCGCTACGAGTCCATAATAGCGAAAGACGAGAAGACGAGAAGAAGCTGAAGGCAAAAGTACAAGCTAATATCCTCACCAAGATAAAGGAAGTGGCACCCAGTGATCAGTATGATAGGGGATTGCATAAGGCGGCTGGATATGAAGATGGTCAAACACTAACAGACAGGAAGGGCCAGCCTATTGCAAGGAAGAGCTCTAATTCGGATGAGAAGGACTGGGAGAAGAGCTTACGCGTCAAGGTGCCCCCATATTACGGGAAAAATTAATGGAAACCATATTTGATCCAATTTCAGCACATTGCTAATCGACACCGGTGGTCAGAAGCTCAGAAGTTGGACAAGTTGGTGGAATGCCTTAGAGAGAAAGCCCTGAAGTTTTTTAGCTCCCGGCCAGCTTCGGTACAGACCAATTTTGCTCTTCTGTGCGAGAAAATGAATGAGAGATTTGGAAAGACTGACCTTCTTCACATTGTTCGCAGGCAATTACAGGACATCCGACAAATGTCTGATGAGTTGATAGAGGAATATGCTGAGAGGGCACAGGAATCGACCTCGGATGGCTACGCGGACTTCACAGAGGAAGGCATTCAAACACTTGCAATTGATGCATTCTTAAAAGGCCTTCAGGACAAACATGCAGCTTTTCCAGCCATAGATAAAAACCCAAGATCACTGGATGAGGCTGTTAAGTACGTGAGGAGCGCTATAACAAACCAACAAATTATTTTTGGTAATAAACCAAGACAAGAGGGTATCTGTTGAGGACAAACAGGAGGTCAATCAAGATTTATTAGCCAGGATTGTTCATAGTGGGGACAGACCGCAGTCAGGCCAGGGACCAAGGTTGGATGAGCGCATGAGGAAAACAGAGGACGACATCCGAGAAATAAAAGAAGAACTCCGGAGGCTTGGTGTTCCGGCAAACATTAATAGGTCCCGGAGCAGTGGGAATGGTGGCTCCCCAAGGGGTTCACCCTTGAAAAGACAACCCAGATGCTTCCATTGCGACAAGGAGGGTCATTTTGTTAAAGACTGTCCCCTTAAAGCCTCTAGGGAGTCCGTAGATAGGCCTCGTTCCCCGTCGCCCTCGGCGCCTGGAAGGAATTTAAACTTCAGAGGGTCGCAGATGTAGGCCGGTCGGCGACCCTCACTGATGACACTGGTAGGCCACCATCACCAAACAACTTACAAAAATCAGCTGTAAGACAGGTATGTTTGGACGGGAAGGAAAAGGTAGGATATAGGAAACCGGTGGATGAGGGTAGCCCCAGAACCATGGTTCTACAGGTGGAGGTTGGAAGTCACACGGTTCCGGCTGTGGTCGACACCGCTGCCCAAGTCTCCATCATTAGCCGGAATGTATTCCAACAATTGCTTCCAAAGGTGCAGACTGTTGGAAGGTTTGGATTGAGGGGGGTGGGCCAGCAGTCTAGTCTTGAGGCCCAACTAGCAACCAATATGTGTATTAGCATTGGGGGATTGAACTTTAGGGCTAATCTCCTAGTGGCAGATATTACTGATAGCCTTATCCTTTGTATAGACTTCCTTGAACACCATCGAGCAGTCATAGATTTCTCTAACTATTAGATTATGTTGGATTGTCGACAATTCCAAGCAGAATGTAAGTCAGATAATGGAGGGGGATCCGTGAACGTATACCGACTGGTGGTTGAGAGGAAGACGGTGATTCCACCAAACTCTGCTAAGTTTTTCACAGTGCAAGCATCGGGGCAAGAAGCTCCGGAAGGTGACATTTTGATTTAACCTTATCGGGACATGGAGGGACTAGTTATCCCCCGGGTACTTCAAAGAGGAGGCCTCAAGATGAGTGTTGTGGTGTGTAATATGTCCGACAAGTTCATTTCTCTCAAGGCAGGTCGACCCTTCGGGACTGGCATGGAGTCGGGAGTAACAACCAAGGATGCAGGTGACGGGCAATTCAAGGTCAGACAGACGGTGGTTGGTGCCTCTAACGGGCAAGATGAGAGGGGGCAAGGGTTGGTTGATGAATTACCAGGCCACTTGCATGACCTTTTCTCGCGTTCCAACGAGAAGCTGTCGGCGGATCAATCTATCCAGGTCGCGGAACTGTTGATCCATTTTGAGGGGGTGTTCGCTAAAGATGACCTAGATTTGGGACTTTTTAATGGAGGGATCAGACACCGCATCGACACCGGTGACTCCAGACCAATACGACAGAAAATGAGACGTACTACGGTCGGGTTTGAGGAGGAGGAGGAGGAGGACTACATCCACAAGATGTTGGAGAAGGATGTGATTCAGGTGTCCATATCGGAATTTGCAGCCCCACCGGTTCTGGTCAGGAAAAAAGATGGAAGCCTCAGATATTGTATAGATTACCGTCGTCTCAATCAAGCTACCGTCAAGGATGCATTCCCTCTACCATCAGTTGGGACATGTATAGATACTCTTGCTGGAAGTACTTTTATGAGTACGCTGTATATGGCGGCCGGATATTGGCAAGTCGAGATGGATGAGCGAGATCGCCACAAGACGGCCTTCATCACCAAACACGGCTTGTTTGAGCACGTACGGTAACCTTTCGGCTTGTGTAATAGCCCTGCAACATTTAATAGGGTCATCCAGCTAGTGCTTCGTGGGATGACCTGGAAGGATTGCCTTGCCTACTTAGCTGATGTCATGGTTCTCGGAAAGGACTTTGATGACCATATGGGCAATATAAGGGAAGTATACAATCAGAAGTTGAAGCCAAAACAATGTCATCTCCACCAGACGGAAGTCAAATTTCTTGGGAAGATTGTTAACTCAGAAGGTATCTCTGTAAATCCAGAGAGTATAGAGCCCATTCACAATTGGAAGGCTCCGGAGAACAAGCGGGATGTGGAGTCCTTCCTCGGATATGTGAATTACCATCGTGAGCATATCCCAGGTTTCGCGAGGTTAGCGGCCCCTTTGCACGAACTCACCGGGAAATCCGATTTCTGCTGGGAAGAAAGACATCGACAGGCCTTTGATGGTCTGAAGGAAGCCCTTATTAACGCTGTTGTACTGGCATACCCAAATCCAAAGGACCCTTTTATTCTGGACACGGATGCTTCTGATGGAGCGATTGGAGCTGAGCTGAACCAGGTTCAAGATGGGAGGGAAAAGACTATCTGTTTTGCTAGCAAGACCTTAACACCCGCTCAAAGGAGATATTGTACCACCCGGAAAGAGCTACTTGCAATAGTGTCTTTCACGCGACAATTCAGACACTATCTCCTGGGCAATACCTTTGTGGTAAGGACAGACCACAACAGTTTAAGGTGGTTGCTTAATTTCCGAACATCCAGCGTCAGCTTGCAAGGTGGTTGGAGAAACTTTCCTCCTACAATATGGTCATTCAGCGCCGGGCGGGTAAGGACCATATCAACGTAGACATACTTTCTCGACTCCCGGATACCTTAGGGAGCTGTCATAACTATCAGCGAGGAGTCCCCTTGTCTTCACTACCCTGCGGGGGTTGTGCATTCTGTACACGCGCCCGTAAACAGTGGGGGGTTTTCGAGGAGGAGATTGACTATGTAGTTCCGTTGACTGTGAAGCGACTAACATCTAACGACACCGGTCCAGACTGTGCATTAATGTATCCTACATGGGTGGATCATCTCACGGAGGAGGAACTAAGAGCCAAGCAACTGGAGGACCTTAACCTACGCCAGATCATTAGTTGGTTGGAGGATGAGCATCTCCATCAGGGAAGAACCCGTCTGGCGAATAAGGAAGTCCGGCATTGGTGGAATTGTCGCGACCAGTAGCGCAAGAGGGGGAAAGTCTGGTTCTACCTTTGGGCAGACCCCATTACCCCGAGACTTCTTCTCCTCTTGCCTAAGTCCCTCCGTATTGTAGCTCTACAAAAGGCCCATGACCTACCTACTTCAGGACATCTCGGGGAAACCAAGACACTTAAGCATGTACGACAAACTGTCCTTTGGTATGGAATGTCCGGCGAATGCAAGAGGTATGTATCATCATGCAAGATCTGTGGATTGAATAAGAGGGCCAACATTTAACCCAAAGCGGCCCTTGGACAGTACCATTCTGGAGCTCAAATGGAGAGGGTGCATATGGATATTCTTGGACCACTCCCTGTTACCAAACGAGGGAACAAGTATATCCTTATGATGATTGACCAGTTTTCTAAATGGTTGGAATGTTACCCCTTGCCAGACCAGAATGCGGAAATCGACGCGCGAGCAATAGTGGATGAATTTATCTCCCGATTTGGCTGCCCATTAGAAATTCACACGGACCAGGGTAGGAATATGGATGGTTCCTTGGTGAGAGCAGTTTGCAACTTGCTCCAAATATCCAAGACGAGAACAACTCCCTATCATCCAGCTTCCAATGGTCAGATTGAGAGATATAATCGTACCATCTTACAGTCAATCCGGTGCTTTGTGCAGGGGAAGCAGTGCAATTGGGACCGACACCTACAACAACTTGCAGGAGCCATAAGAGCAACCCAGCATCGACAGACTGGATTCACTCCTAACCGGATGATGCTTGGTAGGGAAGTTACTCAGCCTCTAGACATTTATCTAGGTACCTCTAGTGTGCAGAGCCGAGTGGAGAACCCTGCTGAGTACGTGCTTAGTCTGGAGACGGTCCTGCATGAGGTACATCGGATTGCCCGCCAAAACCTCAGTGGTACACAACACAGACAGAAGAGGGATTATGACCTCAAGGTTCACTTAAGGCACCTTGGAAGGGTCCTTACTGGTAACGGCTGTAAAATCCCCCGTCTTTTATGAAATAACGGACCGGAAAGGAGGCGGCGTGATTCATCATGACCGTCTCAAACTCTGTAAGGACAGGGAGTTCCCAGTTTGGTTGAGGGGGATGAGGAATGACCTCTTTAAAATTGAGCAGCCAAGACCAGGTAGCAATCCCGAGGAATCCCAGGTTGAGGAAGATTGGGGGCTACGAAGTCTGTTCTCCTATCAGGCTCCGGTGGCGGTGTCGGACTCTCTGATACGTGACCGAGGCAGACAGGGTGACCGGGCTGTGGTGACTAGTCTCCAGGAAATCTCGGAACAGGAGGCAGAGGGCTCGGACCAGACATTCTTATATCAGGCTGACGCTTCTGGATTAGTGACACTGGACTGTCCGAGCCGGCGAACTGGACGCCGGAGGAGGACTCCATGACATCTACAGGATTATGACCTGTCACTTGGGGAGTGATAGGTTGTGTGCAGGATTGATGTAAATACTTTGTATACATTGTAAAGGTTTTGTATATATATTGTGTGTTGTTTTAGCACCATGGATTACCAGGAGGAGGAGGAGTTCATCCCGGACTATGAGGAGGACATTGAGGCGGTTGACAGAATTCCCTGTTCTACTCATGGCTCTAAGAGGGGAAGAGTGTGTTTCATCTGCTCAGGTCGTTTTACCCATGCTCGGCGTCATGTGGTGAGGGCACATTTACCCTGGTTCTGCTACCCTGACTCGGCATGTTGGCAATGTGAAATCCAATTTGGACAGTTGAAATGCTCCAGATTCATGAGGACAATTATCATGGTGGAACGGACGAGAATCATGGTTATAACTGCGATACTTGGGCGACAATAATGAGGGCGCTACTGGCGGAATTGGGAAGAAGGAATATTGGTAGGGATTCCCTGGATGGACTGTTAGAGTGGTCTAAGGAAGGTGGGATCCTGGATAACTGCTCCACGTCCCTGTTTCATGATGGCGACATGCGCCTCCTTCAGGCATTTAATCGAGTGTATGGGTCAGGAACCAATACGCCTGTCAGCGGTGGCCAGCTTGGAGAAGGGATACAGAGGCTGCTACACTTGAGGGTCCTATTAACTGCGATTCATATGACGGCCGGATCAGAAGAACTTGTCAACTTCAAGATGGGAGGGGTCCCGAAGGAATCAGTGGAGCTGGTAGACTCACATTTCCATCTCGACATGTGGTGTCGCCGCAGCCAGGAACCTCGCATTGGGGAAGAGGGGCCGGATAGTGCTACCCAATTGGTCTTAGTGATTGCCAACTATTGCTATACCCGGAATTGGCCGACTGGCTCTGCTCGACGGGATATTAGAAGGGATACCCGGGTCAGGTCTAGTTTTGGTATACATCCCCGACTCGCTGCACTCGAGAGTGATCAAACTCTGAGGAAATGGGGGTGGGAATTAGAAAGGCTGATGGATGTTCAGGGAACTTTGTCTGTTGGAGAATGTGGCCTGGACACCTCCGGAAGGACATCTTGGAGGGTGCTGCAGAGGCAAAAGATGATTTTTGAGAGCCAGGTAAGAATCGCAGCCAGGAGGGGCCTTCCTATAGTCATCCACTGTAGAGGAGGCATGAGGACTTCTGAGGAGTGCTTGACGCTTCTGGGCAGACATCTCATGAAAACCCATCGTGTCCATCGGCATTGTTTCACTGGTGACCTTGCCGAACACAAAATGTGGAGCCAGGCCTTTCCAAACTGTAAGTTTGGCATCTCTCCACTAGTCCTTAGAGATCAGTCACACAGATCCGTGGTGAAGCAGCTCCTGAAGCAAGACCTCCTGATTGAGTCTGATGCCCCATACCTTCCATTAGAGAGAGGAGGTGTTGGTTCCCCTTTCCAGGTTGAGGGTGTGGTTGAGGCTATTGCTGAGGATCGGGCCATATCGATACGTTCCGTCGCTGAGGCCACCACCAGGAATGCACGGGGGCTCTACCATATTGAGTGATGTTGCTCAGCCACCTTGTAAATAGTATACATATTGTAGATGTGTTTCGTATGATTTTAGTCCTGTCATTGCTTGCACAAATGACTACCAACTCAAGCGGTGTGTTTTAGCTGATGCTCCTTTCTGTGTATAGGACTTGCTTTGTAATTGTTGGGCTTTTTTGTGTCACGTCTGCTTGGCCGGTCGCTGTATCTGTGATTTGGATAGTTATAAACTTGACAGAATATTCTTAATGGAATTTACGTTAACTAGGGGTCTTCCTTCATAAGATGGGGAAGAGTGTGGTGCTGCGACACGGTTCCGGAATGGCCGGAGTTGGTTCCCACTTCTAGTGGACAGGCGAGGATAACCGAGGTGTTCCGGGTGAGGAACAGTGTTGACCAAGATCTAGGACTGGACAGACGTACCTGCATAGCGGAGCCGTTTCCGGAAAGGATTGGCATCACTCACAGTCGTCAGGCTGCCTGTATGTTTGAGGATAGCCTAGAGCTGTGGTGAGTAAGGCTAATCACAACACTATGCGTCACCCCCAACACACACATGCTACAATCAGCTAAGATTATCCTAACCGTTATCAATATTGGTGAATGGTATGAGATTTCTAACAGTATGTGGTAGGCATGACGTACAGCAACAGTATACACAAGATCTGGTGACATTGGTTCTCGATAATAAATCAATAGCAAAAAATTAGTAAGTGTGAATATATGAAATGTATGCAGGTGATACTTCAATGCAAATATGTTCGAAATGTTAGGATAATTATAGGGACAGTCATTATTTACAATATGTACATACAAGTACAAACATAGCAACATGCTTACACGAGCTCTGGACCTGGACACATTCTCAGCCTTCCATTCATTGTCATTAGGACACTCACGTTACTATAGCTATATTTACAACACATTCAAACATTCAACCGATAAAGAGTATGCACGCTTGCAATTACGTGGTACATGCGGAAAAATCAAATAGTAATAGCCGTGGGTGTATAATACAGAGGGGTTCCGATTAGAATTAGTTCAAACCGCCGATACAGCCAATTAATGGTAGGAGTTCATAACAAAAACATGACCACGTGTTTGATACCAGTACCGAATCAGGATTTAATATGTATATTTTCATCGAGAAACCAGGGGTGCCGAAGTGGGGTAAGTTCACATGAATGTTGAAAAGGACTATACGTAGTCAATAATAGTTACTTTGATTAAATTCGTAGTATTATAGGATTGTTTCAGGGTTGAAGGTATATGTATATAACGTCAATATTACATGTATTTGGATACATATAAATATATTTAGTTTTAAACATTTGCATATGTACATTGCTATAAACACATAGATAGGGGTAAATACTGAATTGTATACATATACACACACCTACACCCAGTCAGTCGATTACTGTATCTAGTCCATTTCATTCACGTTCACACAGTAGTGATATTTCAATACGCATACAGTAACTTGTATCATTCAAGTTGACATATATTATAACACCTTGGTAATCAAAATCCAAGTCGGATCATGCGTGGCTTTGGGGAGGGGGGAGGGTGTCAGATACATAGGAAGTACCAGAATGATACCAACAACTGCATGAATTTATATGTATATTAAAACATACTCACTTGTAGGTACACGTGTTCCATAACTTATACATGTATATATCATAATATTTTTTTAATGCATACACAACACTAACATACCTTACCTATTACGATATACTTATAGATGTATTGACATGATTTTCATATTATATACATATAGACAAATTACACGTCTTTATACGTCTCTGCACGTACATGAAAGTTACTCAAGCACTAAGGAACTCCTGAGTGTTACTGTCAGAGCACTGGGGGTCAGGGCTGAGTGCAGCAAACATGTTCATGTGTTGCTAACGCTTACCCAGTTTCCGATATCTGTTGTCACCAGATGCAGAACGTTGAGGGATGGATGCACGGAAAGGGGTGGCGGACCGAGTGTGTCAACGTGTATCACTAGTCCTGAGGGTTTTTGGTGAGCATTTCCTTTGCTTTCAGATGCAGATACTCTGTCTTTGCTACCTTCTCATTACACAGGCAAGTATTGGTAGATCTTGTTCCCCTAAACTTAGAGTAAAGCAGCTGTCGTACAAGAGGGTCAACTTTCAGTGTGCTCTTTGTTTAATAATCTGGCCAAAATGGAATGATGTCAGTCTCCTTTTTCCTCTCCTCTTTCCATATGATTGACTCTGACTGCCCTTTTCTAGATCCTTCAATGGTGTCTATTTCCTTTAAACCGGATTCCTGCCTGTCCATATAGCTCGTCTTCTGTTGCTCCAGGTCTTCAGCTTAAATGACCATGTCGATGTATCTGGCCTCTTCACCGTATTCTAATCTTGCTTTTTGGTACTGTTCACCTTTTTAATGGTACGCTTTCTTTTCCAACGCCTGATGTAGCTGTGCGGCTGTGACTAAGCTCTTTTACATGTGCGTAGGTTAGTAGCCCGTCTTTTGTAGAGTCGAGAGAATAGCCTGCCAGGGCGGGTACTGGTGCACTCCTGCAAAGTTAGAGGTGACCATTCTGTTCCGATGTTTAGCCGTAATGCCCCTGCAAAGCGCCGAGTATGCAATGACCACTGATTACAATGGTTGAACACTTTTCCCCCATCGTACTTTGTATGGATGTGCACCCAGCACTTAGCACGGTTGGTTGTGAAGTTGCCAATTAGGCGCTAGCTTGTATCTGCCACTCTGTTAACTTTAGTTTTGAAGAAGTCAGAACTACAATTGATATGTTTCCCATAAATTTGGTGCACGGAATTCCGGATGTCGTGTGCTAGTTGTTTGGCTGTTTTCCTCTTGTCGGGAGAGATGTCCTCATCCGAATGGCACATCTTACTGCTGTTACTATCCGGATCCTGGTTTGCTTTGATAGTTTGCCACGACCTTTAAAGATTAATTCGCAGGCACTTACATGCATGATTTGCACACTCCAATTTGGTTACGTTGCAACTTTTTCGCGGATAATTGCAAAAACAAATGAATCCCCATCGTGTAACGCACACCATGATCATTAGCTTTTAAGAAGCCCTCCACAATTATGTCCGCCTCCATTGCTTGACTGGACTTGTTCCAGATTTTAAAGCAGTCATGAACCTGGGTTGTGCAACCCAAACTTTCTGCACGAGAGCATAAACTGCAATGTTTGTTTCTTACACCAATGTGTAACAATTTGTTTGTCTGTGTTCCTATTATTATGGCAACACCTCCCTTCGCGTTATAGCTGTGCTTGTGAGAGCGCTTCGACCAGCCTCCATCACATGTAACAGTAATTGCTGGTACTCCTCAAATGTAAATTAATTAATTTAACAGGAGGCCAAAGGGCCTTAATGGTCACCTTAGTTTTTTGTATAGGTAGTTAACATTGGTGAGTTGGAAACACAGACACATGCATTACTTGTCATGTCACCAATGTATAGAAAACAAGAGATGCTAAAGGAATTCTGGCACCCACTATCCTATCCTTTTCATTAATTCTATGTCAGTTTCATATTATTGCTCTTCTTTTCTCTTATCTGTTTGATAGAGTCATGAAACCTGTAAATGCACCTTGGGTTAAAATTGGAGGTAAATTCATACTACTATTTATAAAAGACAACCTTAAAATTGAGTAGTTGTATCACATATTTACTATTATAGTACTTAATATTCTTGAAATATCAAAATCCAAGATTATTGCCTGTGGCCATCTTGTTTTTTGTTCAATCATTCTCAAAAAAATACATCCACAATTACGGACCAAGAGGACCGTTTTTAAGAAATTTGAAAATATGTATAAAGCGCTTTTTGAAAAAATAGCAATAACAGTCTTTTCAAAATCCAGGATGGCTGCCTTTTGGCCATTTTGTTTATCCAATCCTTCCAGCTCTTCCTTGGAATAAGCGATAACAAACTTTCACCCTCAAAACTAAAGATGGTCGCCTTTCGGCCATTTTTTTTTTTTATCTGATCAATGTCGACAGGAAATATGCACAACAAGGGACCAAGGGGAAACCACATGAAAGTATAGAAACATTTCTCCAGTCCTTTCTGAGAAATAGTGATAACATGAATTGTTAAAGGACGGAAGACGGATTTAAAGCAATTGCAATGATGATGGGCTAAAAAGTTAACAAATCATGTTCGTCTTTGAAAAACGCGTGGGACAGGTCAGGATCTTACTTTCCGATACATTTGAATTTGAATTTTATCATATCATTCCAACCGAGTTGGTTTTATTTCTTGGTGAAAATGGACAAATTATAGTCAAAAGTGTTGTTTTCTTACATAAACTGTAGTAATCTGTATCCTCTCCTCAAAGAACAATAGATGACCAGGGGGTTATGAAATTGTAGATATAGTTAAACCAATTGAGGTTTCCGTCCATGAAGAGATTTTGATCCTAGTAGATGAGAAGATTTGTGACCATCAACTGTATACCGGGTACATATATCAGTATGGATATGCAGCATTGCAATGTTAGGATCTAAGAACCAAGTTTCCAGGGCCAGAGCTAAACAACAGGCCCAATCCTAGTGGCAAATGTATATCCTTCTCTTCCATTCATGTTGTATATATGAGTATGGGGTTGGGGATCACATCCATTCCCATGTAATAAGAACGAACTGCGGTAGCATGGATACATTTGTCCTACAGTGTGCAATATGTGTATGTTGGGCTATTGGCTCGGGATGTTAGAATGCTTCGGAGTTATGACCTAATGTTCCTATTGAGCCTTGCCCATATGGTGGGCACAGACCCTGGACTAAACTGTAGTAGCATGAATGTATTTGTGTAATTATATCAAGTAAGAGTATATACGGATATACATGTAGGGTGGGTTTTCACATCAAGCCCAACCCGGCTACCTCAACGGGCAACAAACCATCTTTTCACATAAATTCAACTCACTTTAGCCCAACAACGCTTCAGACCAAATGCATAAAATTCCACTCCAACATTCTGGAGAAAAGAAAAAGTTGGCAATGAACAACAGACACTGCACCACAGCCTAAGCTCAAATGACATTTAAGTTCAGATTGAGTGGACAACGGTAATAAATTCTATGTAAAAGATGTGCATTGATTAGTTTGCCTAACAAGCATCAGATGTAGGGAATTTTTCTTTAGCTCAGCGGTAGAGCATCGGGATGGATAGCTACGGGTTGCGGGTTCGAGCCCCCAGAAATGACACTATCTTTATCACTATTCCGCATCCTACTACATCTATATCACACTTAAAAATGTGTACGAGATGCAGGTGTACTAAAGAAGATAGGGAACTAATATTCCTATATAGATGTTCCCCTTTTTATCACTGCATAATTGGTTACGAGGTGTCCATTTCTTTAACCATAATATCTTTGGATATCTTACCCTGATGGAAGTCATCTTTCTTTATTGCAATGGCCTGTTCTTCCTGAATAGCCATGTCAAGGTCTTTTTGTAAAATGTCTTTCCACCAGTCGCTAATTTCTCTCTCTATTTTCTGGTATGACTTTTGGCCTAGCCCTGGGGAGTCAACACATGCAAGAAGCTCATTTAAATGAGCATTTCCATACTGGTATCAATACAACACCATGTGAAATTTCGACACCTAGTAAAAACTGTTATCCAACATGGCGGCTCCCACGAAACATGAGGGTACCCTTGTTTGCACTTGCTATGTGAGGTTTCTAAACTTGTGAGACAAAAATTAAGGCCCGTGTGACCTCGCTCTTGACATGTACTTTGATATTTGCTGTAAATGTTTTAATTTGGTGTTTCAAACAAAACGATTGACATGTTAAAGTTTTAGCGAAGCAATAATTGGATTATATATTATTCTGTCGTCATATCTTGGTTATCTAATGGTACCTTATTCAAAATTGCAGCTCTCTAATTAAAGTCCAACTAGTGACTTTTCGACATGTATATTTCGATTTCTTGCTAGAATGTGAAAACTATGTAAATCATTACTGAATCCATGGCATCCACATTTCGTGTTTGTAGGGGGCTTGTTGAACATTAAATCGTCAATAAAGAGAACAGTTCTTTCTTGAAATAATGTAATATTCGGTATCAAAATAACAGTTGGAATATGTTGCACACGATGATGATATAATTTTATAGTAATTTTGTCATTTGAATGCTCTAGGAGGAATTGTATTACCGCACCGTTAACACCCACACAGGTATAAGTCAATGAGGTCCCATTTATCATAAAATTAATTCTGAAACTAACAGGTCCTGATTTAAGCTTCCTTTTCCCATACCGTTTTGGATTTATCTTGGTTTGAAATTCCAAGCGGGGTTTGACGCTAATGTAAAATCTCCATAGGCGTTGACCCTACCTTTGGGTCATCATCTATGAGTTTTTCCAGTGTAAATTGATTGATATCAAATGCAGGAGGCCCTGCACATCTTTTGATCTGAAAGGCTGTGTTGATCCATATTTTACACGCTCGTAGATTAACCATGTCCGGTGTTTTTACTTTCTCCAAGTTGCTGCATTTCATATTGATTTAGGCAACACACAATATAAGGGGACATTTTTAGTTGAATGAAGTTATCAGCCAAGTTTTCAATGCCATTGTTTTTCAGAACTTCAAATATAAGTTCGTTCCTGTAGCTAACAGTCGTCCCGCTAGGTGGGCTCTTTCACTAAAATGAAAGAAAAATATACCACAGCAAAGACATAGGTTGATGATCAATTATGCAAGGTGGTTTCATAAATCTATAATTGAATAATCATTTAAAAGATAAAACGCAGTACAACAACAAAATTAAGACTGACTTAATTGATCAGTGCAATATGTACATGTACTTCTATCATATTTTATGCATTTTTTTATTATATTAATACCCAAAGAGGTTACCATTTTTTTCGAAATAATTTTAATAACATGTAATGCCATCTGTTTTACGTACACAACCCATTACAGCTTCTCATTTCTGCCAGAAATATACATGATAAGATCCAATTTTTTACACTTTCAGATAAATTCTGATAAATATA